TGTATATTATATGTCTACCTACTGATATGATTATGTAAATAGACTAATATCAGGCCATTGTGAAAAGTAGTAGTTGCTAGCTAAAAGTTTGTGAGGGCCGTTGTGTGACAATTTTATGTTGTTGTATTGCAAATGGAATAATTTTGTGCAGCGAAATGAATTGTTGACATATTTGTTGGTTACTTATAGGAAACTAGTTTTATGTTTGTAACAGCGTTTTGTATCTCCTGCTGTAAACGTACGTAGGTTATGTAAGGTACATTTTTTCTTGGTTTCTCCGTTTACTTTATTTGCTCGTTGTGGAAAAAATTGAGGAGAAGAAAAAATTAGAAAGAAAAGTAAGGAAAAATAGCAAACATTGATAACGTAAGTAAAAAATATGAAAAAAGATATGCAAAAAATTTGAAAAAAAATGTCAAAAAAAGTAAGACGAAAAATTTGGAATCTAATTTCCGTTGTTGTGCAGTATTTGTATGCTTCTTTTGTTGTTGCAATGTTGCATGTGTTTTGTTTTATTATTTTAGTGTTAAAGTATTACTTTGGTGAGTAGATCATATTTCTTTTCAAGGTATACTTTTGAAATTCAACAAACTTTAGCCAGTCAACGATATTGTAACGTCAATTATATTTGAGTCATTTATAGCTGGAAATTATGGCAATGAAACGGCAAAATAAGGCACGAAATTATTTACTTATGAATATGTTTGGTTTGGCTGCATTTATAAGCAAAATTAGATGCATCACGTTAAAGAAAAATTGTAGATTAGGCGTTAATTATTGGTAAGTTATTTAAATCTGGTTGTTTTTTGTAAAATTTTGTTGCGAAGTGATTTTTGGTACACTAAAAATTGTGCTTTGAAAGTGAAATTGATGCAGACTGGTGCATTTTGGTTGCATTGAAGACTTTTCTTTCGGATGCTAATGTCAATGTTGCATTATAATAAATGTGTTTCTTTATTTTTTTAACAATGAAAGTAATATTTGGAAAAATGGAAAATATAGTGGCAATGTTTGAAAAGTTTGCACATGTCTTAATAAATTTTTGTATGAGTCTAATTAGATATCTTAGAGAATTTCAGAGGAGTAAGAATCTCGATTGCATTCTTTCTCCCTTTACGAAGTGCCACAAGTCAAAAACCAGATCACATTCACATATATGCAATTCCTTCCCTATGTCAAAGCAGTTTGGAATGATGGATTCCTCAAATCTTGCAATGATTATTGCTAATAATATCATATCATGCGAGGTACTATTATGCAAAATTCGAATGTGTGACCAAAATAATTCCATATACGATGACATGGGATGGGATTGTAGCGAACCTCTACAGAGAGTACGCGAAGTAGATCAGTTTATCTGATCACGTGGGGCATACATTCAGTCGGTACTGGTCAAGAAAATGCTCGAGGAGTATTGATATATTATATCATTTGAATTAAAAGAAATAATTTCTAAAAAGGATCTTTTTTAGTCGGTTTCACAAGTATAATTAATTAATCCATAATTATTATTATCTGTTTCTTTCCAGTTTCTCAATTTCGTTTTGTGTGTAATAGTTTGTTATGATAATTTTTACTAAATTATTTTATAATATTTCTACTAATTACTGCAATTCCTTCTTTTCTATCATCCTCTATTTATAATATGAGAATTTTCTTGTGCTCTTAGTAATAGTTATCAACATAGAATGTGCAGAAATGCAGATTTAAGATTATTAATACTGCTGGATGCGCGATTCTTTGCTCAGATATAAAAGGTTTTGATAAAGTATAATATTATTTTTGGCATTTAAGTTGTTTGCTCGCAAAAAAAGTATATAGCAATGACATTCAGAGACTGTTTCTGTACGAACTTAGTTTATTTGTGAACGTACAATTTCTGATTCCAATTTGTGCTCACAATTTTCGATAACAAAAAATTGATTGAGTATTATATAAGCAATAACTGATATTAGGTATTACATAAAGTGATTAAAACTATGAAGTAAGGATTTTTAATCTATAAATATTGTGAATTCATTGGAATAGCACATTGGTGCTGATGACAGCTACGTTTAGTACAGTATGTTTGGTGAAAAATAATTGAATGTATTTGTCTCGCAGTAAGTTTTGCAAAGTTACTATTCTATTCTATAAGTCTATAAGTAGTCACTGATTTTGTCTTTAAGTAATATTCACACATTTGTATATATAATATAACTGATACTTGTCTATTACTGAGATTTTATTAATAATGTACATCTTAATGTTTGTTTGATATTTGCATATATAATAATGTTTTAATAATTACTGCTTATTAAATGAAGCGCTAGAAAATGATTTTTGATAGTTTTGTGCTGTTAGATGGATTATATTTTGATGAATTTGTGTGAACAATTAATCATATTTTGATTGAATTTATCGCTCTTAGCTCGGCCTTAAAAGTCATATATATAATCTTCAGCTCATTTTCTTTCTCAATCTTCAAATGCAATATTGTCATTAGTCTTTTTTTACTTATATGGCCAACTGTAGATTTTGAATTGCATTTCATTCAATTTTCTCAAATTTCAACGCTAACTTTTGTCTCGAAAGTCAAAAATCAAATCTTGAAAGAATAAATTACACGTTAATTAGCATTAGCTTCTGCCTAGCATTCGAATGAATGCATTATTTACTTTTCGGTAGGGCTACGGTTGAACTGAAGCAATTAATAAGTACTGTAATGATTTTTTGTACTAGTACAATTCATACTTATTTCAATTTCATTTAAATTCAATTTTTTCGTTTTCCATTTTCAGTTCGAAATTCAAACAAATAAAGCAATAAAAGCTTCAAATTTTTTGAATAGAAATACTCCGTTTTTTGTGCCTTCTCTTAGCTTCTTGTGAGAAATGCATTGTTTCAGCGTAACGAAAATTGCTCAAAGTATTTTGACTATACTTTGACCCTTCCTCGCTGTATTATGTCTAATAACCAAAATAGAACAATATTGAAGTCAGTTTGTGTTTGCGCGTCTTTTAGTTGTTTAAAATAAATTACTGCTTGGCTGATTAATTTGATCAAAAAAGCGTTACTGCAAGAAAATGAAAATTTTTATTTGCATTAGAAGTATTGTTGAATAATACGTTATCTTATCAGTATCAGTAAATCAAGCAATAGGTGTCAAATTTTATTACCTTTTATACAAAATAATTTTCAACAAGTTTTATCATAATTTTTATCAAAATACAGTAGATTTTCAATCCTGACATATTTTGATGAAAGCTTGCAATGCGATGTAAAAGTCAAAAATGCAAAATTTTTTAGATGAAAAAACACAACAAAAAAAGGTTTGCAAACTGTCAACTTGTAAAAGTTTTTATGAATATTTTGCTCATTTGTACAGTTTATTTTGATTTTCGATTTTTTGAATTTTCGATGCTCTTTTTTTGTTTTTTTCAATGTTGTTTGAATGTGAAAAAAATTAATTTTATTCTCATAATTAGCCTTGTTTTAACGCAGAACACATAACAGAACAAGGTAATGAATGACATTGAAAGTAATACCAAAATTAATATTGAAGAAAATTGAAATCGAAACACCCGAACTTATTTAATTATTCACATAGTAAAAAGAGGCAATGAAAGAACCGCGGAAAAAAGTTTTCGAGTACGCGTATGGTTAATCTGTGGTAAACATCCAATTGATAACTTTTTAAAAAATGATAAATTAATTCTGTTAAATATTTTTGAAATTCAGAATGTATTTTTTATAATATAAATTAATGAAAGGCATCAGTTAATAATCAAGTACGGTTTGGACTTGAACAGTTGTGCTAAATGTATTCAAAATAAGCAGTAAGATAGAATGATAAGTAATTTTTAAGATTTAAAAATTTAATTGTAATTAAGATTTATATTTACAACAAAGTTGAACTGTATTTGCTCAATAACAGAAATGTTATGCATTTGTTAGCATCAAGAAATACACAATAGACTCCTTCCAATCACAAATATTAGTACATATGTATATATATCTATATATATATTTATACGGTTCATATCACATAACCCTGTTAATATTTAATAATGTTTTTACAATAGAGGTGAATTATGAAGATATTAACAAGTTGAAAAGTTGAATTAGATTTTTAAAAGTGTATTTTTAATATTTCTCTTTTCATTATTTTTGCAAAATAAATAATAGAATTACTCAAAGAAATATCAATTTTTTTAGTTTTAAATCTTGAAGTAAAATTTTTCTGTAATTGTGATGTATAATACTTTTGCAGTTTATATAATTCAATCCAAAATTAACCGAAATGCTAAAAAAGGCTATTATTAAAAAATTCTTAATTTGAAATAATAAAGATTGTATAAAGTCAGTAATGATAAGAATTGATGCAACCTGTGTTGATGTGAAATGTATTCAAATACAGATAAGTAATAAAATTACGATAAGAAATGCAAAATATGATATTTTGATAAAAATTCAAATCAAAATTTACATGTATAAAAAATAATTTATGCAAATATTGGTAAAGAGTGGTTAGTAAGACATCATTCAATATCGTATTTTTCTGTATTGATAAATTATTTGATATCTACATATATATATCCATATCCATCACTTTTAGTACAGTTTACGTTAATAATTTATACTGCTTTAATCATGAAAATCAAACATACACTGAAGTATTTTCATTTATTCATAAAGCAAAATTGTTGAAGCAAAAATTTTTGCATTCAAAAATTATTTGGTCGACTTTTGTAACTTTCAGAAGGAATTTCAAGCGCAGAATGATTGAGAAGAAAAAGAATGCAAATTTAATATTTTAAATACAATCGAAAAAAGGCGACTTTTTAGGATTTATTGTTGACATAATAAAATTGCAACGAAATACATGTAAGAAATGCTTAATGACAAAGAATAAATGAAAAGAAGCACAATTATTTTACAACATACTGAAGCTAAAAGAGGTGTTGTGGTCGAGAATGAGTGAATGCACATAGTAATACAGTACTGCTCGATAACATACATTATTCTGCAGTTTGTTCAACTTTGATAACTGAATTATGGATTTGATTAGCATATGGATTCATTAATGCTAGCATAGAATTGTTTACCAAATTTAGTTGACATTTAATATCTGGTAAGCACTGTTGACCAGTTGATGATGTTGTTAATCCATCAGATTTTGCTTGTTGTTGTTGATTATTTGAATCTACACTATCAGGGCTAATATCATCTAGTCTTGAATAATTATTTGTTGGTATGGGCGAAGCTGCATTAGAAAGTGGAGATTCTGAATCAATTTTTGGACAAAAATTATTAGCATTTGCTAAAGTTTGTACAAGAGCTGCTTGCTGTTGAACAAGTGACGAAAAAAGTTTTGTATCAGCTCTGACTGGACTATTTCCTAGCCGTATAGTTGGAACACTTATTGGAACAGATGTAGTAACTGAGATTGAATTTACTCCGCGATCATCAAGTCCAATTCGATCAGTTTCCATTGGTGTATTTGATATACTTGCTGTTGGAGATGGTGAAGAAACACCATCAGGTGAACTCTTCAAGTATTATGTTCTCAAAACTAAACGTGATTACATTTTTATTACAATAAATTTGTAAAAAAACCTTATTAATCATATTCTTAAATACTCGGTATCTAATTTTTTGCAATTTTTTCCTTCAATTTTTTGGCATAATTTGTAATATATCAAAAATTTATTATAATTTTAGCAATAATTTAATTTAAATTTTAAAATAATTGATAAATTTAACATACAACTTGTGATATGTGCGCATTAGTATCGTTGCATTCATCATTGGAGCGACGACGCAATTCTTTTCGTTTATTAGCAAACCAATTTGCGACAACTTGCGGTGATACTACTTCTTTTGGCATTAATCCTACTCCTGCACATATTTTCTTCAAATTATATTTAATATCTATTTAATAATATCAAAATGCAAATTGATGCGTGTATAATTATTATTGATAAGAATGAAACTATTCTGACAAATATAGCTTAACCTTTTTTGTCAATTTGTAATGCTTGATTACATGCTGTAGCAATTTCAATTCGACGATTTAAATCCGGAAATGGCGTTTGAGCAAAAAAGCCTTCCAGAATTCTAATTAGTATAGGACGAAATACATATCGTTCACGACGTTGTGGAATTAATTCCCCATCACCATTTGTCTCCAAACGAGTTGATGGATCAGCCAGAAAAGATGCTAAAAAATTATTCATTCAAATTTTATTTTCAATGTTTATCATATATTTTAATACTATGGAAAATTTTCACTTCTATTATTAGCTTACAAAGTTTTTCTGGATGTCGTCTACAATTCAAATACCACGAATAAATATTTTTTCGACAACGTAGTGATAATTCTCGGTGATTACCATTGAGCAATTTTGATATATATGGCTGTGAAACACCTTTAAAAAATAAAGTATTACAGCTTGTAGGGAAATTAAGAAGAAATTTTATAAATTTGAGATAAAAAATAGGTAAAAGGGTTGAAACTGGCATGTAAGTATTGTAAAAAGATTTTTCTAGGGTAAAAAAAAATTATTATAAAGTTTACAACAAAAATTAGACAAACCAGTCATCATAGCAACTGTTGTTTGTCTAAGTGAGAATTGTGTGATAAATTTTTTCATATCTAAAATACAAGCTTCTTCGCCTTGTTGCATAAATTCTTCCAATTCATTAGGGTCATCTAAAGTTGTTATTTCACGCATTGGTGTCCTTTGTGAACGAATTGGTCTACAACTTGATGGTGATGAGCCTTCAAGATTGTACTGTCCAAATAAACAACTTGTTGGTACTGTAGCTGATTCTGTATTCATGGTAGATGTTGCAGTATCTAGGGCATCTGTAGATGTAGTACTATCTCCAACTGATGCTGATGAAAATGGTAAATTATTTTGTATCAGGCATCGATCAGGAGGTGAAGTTGGCACCGAAGTTGACGATGAAGCATTTATAGTTACTGGAATAGGTGCCTAAAAATAAAATAACAAAAAAGTACAAAATAGTAAAAAATTAATTAAAATTTTATTAACAGTATAAAATTATATTGCAACCAGGAATTTTTAAAAATTTTTTTGCCTTTTAATAGTGTATTTATTATTCATTTTTTTTATTTGCTTGTATAAAAAAGGCTAATTTCAGAAATAGAAATGTAAATAAGTATGAAATTAAGTAATCATATATCATATTAATACAGTACGCTTGAGCAGTAACAAATTTGACATGAAATATTATCACCTAATGTAATGTATAAGGTCACGTGGGGAAGGTCACGATTGATGGAATGGAAAAAAATGCCAAATTTAATTAATGTGAATTATTCAGGTGAATGTGTTATGCCGATGGTCAAAAACATTTTTGCATTATATTTTGAAGTTAGAATATATTAACTAATCTTTCTTATTTTGATCACTTTTATTCGAAAAAACAGAAAATTATTCGTTCATTCGCTAAAAATTATTTTTATGATAGAACTTTTGATAAACCATTCAAATGTATGAGAATTCGAATTTGAAAAATTATAATTGCTTGAAATAAGTGAAAATATTGCATTCATCATCAACTAATGAAAAGTAGTAAGTGTCAAGAATAAATTTGCTAATTGCGTCTGCTCTATATTTGCTCCCAACAAATTTCAGCGTAAAATTGTCGTACTTTAATACATTTATGATTATTAATTAAAAGTTAAAGGTTTAATTTAAATTCTTGTTATTGTAATCATACTAAAATTATTATGATTACAATTTGCAAATTCTTCATACTTTCCATGACCACATTTAATTTGAATACTGTAAATTAACATAATTACAATTATAAAAATTTTTATGAACAAATTACTGTTAATACCGAAGTTTTTGCTTTTAAAAAATATGAATAATTACAGAAAACAGTGAGTCGCATAAAGCACACATTACACATTGATCATATGGATCAAATTAATTCAAACAATATAAATAAATAAAAATTATATACAAAATTTATTAATTTATTTAACTTCAACGAACTGTACGGATAAAAAAATTCTTGTCACTTTTTATTAGAAAAGCAATAATACTTGTGATGAAAATTAATAAATATTAGAAATAGGAGAATTAAATAAAAAAATAAAAGCGGAAAATAAATAAATTAGGACAAAAATTTAATCATAAGCAAAATTGAGACGGAAATAAATGAATTATTAATTATTAAAAATAAAAAACTTTCATTAGCTCATTTTAAAAAAGAAAGTTTTAAATGTGCCAATTTTTACAAACTGACTTGTATTGCATATAGCTCAATCATAAAAGTTGTTGAAAATGATAGCACTTATCGTTCGTAACACTAAATGCTGAAACTAATTTTAATAATTTATTTAAATTTTTAAAATAAGTTTTCTGCGTTAGCAAACGTCAAGAAAATGCAGAATAATTCATTCCAAAAATTATTTATTAATATATTTATTTATTTAAAATGTTTTAATATTGTCTTGAAAGCAATAAAGTTTTAACGATATATTCATACTTTTTGCAGTAAAATTATAAAATTAAAAATAATAAAAAAAAATTAATAAAAAAATTAAAGTTGAAAATTTGAAAAATAAAAGCAGAAATAAAAAGAAAATTTATTGAATGAAAAATTAAAAAAATATAATTTTTCTTCATCTAATTAACTTTAAATATTTGAAATTTAAAAAAATAGCAGTAAATGAAGTTTAAGACCAAATTAAAGACAGCTAAGAGCGACAAAATTTTAAACTTTTATTTGAACTTTAAAAATTTTTCAGAAGAATTTACTTTAACGGCAAAATTTTAGTTATTATTAATTATTTATTCGTAAAAACATGTATATTATTATTAAGCAAATTATTTTTTCGCATAACTTTTTAGTCCACATGAAAAATTGCATTTGACTAATTTCCATTTTCTAGCAATAATAACAAAATTGAGGAATTTATTTGTAAAAATTAATAAAAGTGAAATTGATATTTACCGATCTCTTTTTTAATTATTATTTGCAATCAAATATTTCGTTCTGTTATACAAGGTTACAGTGCTTGACATACTGTAAATAAAAGTAAGAAAAGAGAAAGAATAAAGTTGTACTGAGAATGTAAATCAAATTAATGAGATAAAAATTAATTAGAATCAAAAAAACTTTCTGATAAAGCTATCAACAAATTATCAATTCATAGCACAATTTTTCAATCAGGAAATGAAAAAATTCAAAAAAAGCTCTTTTTGCTGTGTTTTATTCAAAAGTTTTGTTGATATTTAGTCCGATTATTTATTTATACAAGCAAATATGTTATTTTTTTGCATAAAAGTTTGCATAGAATAGATCGAAGCAAAATTAACAGATATTTTTGCAATTTTATCATAAAATAATAAAATAAGAAGGCAAACAGAGCAAAAATTAAAGCAAAATTATTCGATATATTATTTCAAAAAACTTTATATTTTTTATTATCAAACAAATAAACTAATCATTTCTCTCTTACTCAGTAAGTTAAACTCATCAAAATTACTTTCGTCCCATAAAAAAAATTTACTATTATTGTTTTTATTATTATTATTATTATTATTGTTATGATTGTTATTTGTTGTCATTATTATTAATATTTGTTATTGATATTATCTATTAGTATTTTTATTATTTATTACTCTAATTATTCGCTACACTGTTTACTTTACAATAAAAACAAATGATGATAATAATAATTAAAGCAATAAGAA